TTAAGTTGCTGCCATGTGATTGGCTGATTAGAAATTTGCGTTAACGAGCAGTTGGACAGGTGTACCTAATAAAGTGGCCGGAGAGTGTATATGCACTTAAAAAGTATCTTCAGTTTAAATTAATATACAATTATTCTGCAACATCACGAGTATTAAATTAAGATCTCACACAAGGCTCTTTCGAAAGCACAGTCATGAAATGATTACATCTATGACAAAAAAAAAATGTGTATCATTATATTAGATCTGAGAAATCAGCTTTTCTTGGACACAAATCCAGGATATATACTTATACAAAATAAGCAACTTTCTGCTTTGTAATTTGGCAGATTTTAGCTCAAACTGCAACTAGCTGAAACTGAAAATGTAAAAACCAAAATTCACCATTTAATCAAGCTGACATAAATAACGAAAGATCATTTTAGCCTTGCACTCCCAGATGTTTTACGCACGAATCACGTACATACAGGTCTCCAAAAGACAACACAGGGGCATAAGATAGCAAGCAGAGCAGGAGGACGAGCGACTTTTCAGAAGCAGCTGACAAACAGAATGAAAATCATGAGGATCGTGTTGTGAGGTGACAGAATTTAGGTCACATCGCCGCTTTGATTTCCTCAACACTCGTGCTGCAAAACACTGGCAACTCAGTCAGTGCTGCAAGAGCTGAACAGTGGGATAAAGGACACAAGCCTACGCACAACACATAATGATGCTTGATCAAATAACCCAAACCCATCCTGCATATTCGATTGCAGAGCGATCTAACAATGGTGAGAGCTCCACTTCACAAACTACACACAAATACATACAAAAAAACTGCCCCTATTATGGGTTTTGGAAAATTCCCTTTCATGCAGTGTGTAACACAGCTCAAAGTGAATAAAAACATCCTGCAAACTTTTAAATCTGAAAGTACTCTGTGTTTGAAGATATTGTCTTTTAAAAGAAAGAGTCAATCAAAATGAATCGTTTTTTCGATTTAAGCTGTTTCATGGTGATGTCAACATGCAGTAGACCTATCACCACAGACTGGGCCACTGGACCAATCACCACAGGCTAGCTTCACACTACGGGCTGCACTGACTAGTCAACTGGTTAACTTTAATCCTTTGCCATGACTCTTTTTGATTGATGTCGACTAGTTGTGCTGCACAGATCACGTGATTTAACCTAAACTACATGACAGCTTTACACACTAAGGTGATTCACTTAATGAAACTTCCCTTGGATTATTTAAAGTAATTTTCAAAATGTTATTTTTCTTATGTCAGCGTCAAAGATTTACATGAAATTTGAGTGAACTTTAAATCATCAAAGAGATGCCAGTTAGTCAGTCCATGCAAATACCCAAGAGCTACTAGCCAATAACATTTACGCAAACCTGGAAAAGTAATGTGATTGGTCGTTGTGTTTTGCATAGATGCTGTAACATTTTATGAATGAACTGTGAAGTGCACAGAACCTGTGTAGAATGCAGCCATCGGAAGTGTGACAAATTTCCCAGGCCACAAGAATTTTGGCCCAGATTTGGCATAAATATGGCACAGCAGGCATTTATTCAGCACTGGCATACAGCATGTGGGCCAAACATGGCCCTGGTTTGGCAGAGATGTGCCAGATGTGAAATATAGTACTTGGCCCAGATGTAAATAATTGGTATGTAGGCCAGGTGTAAAATTAAATATTTGGCCCAGATGTAAATAATTGACATGTGGGCCAGGTGTAAAATGTATTATTTATCCCAGATGTAAATAATTGACTTGTGGGCCAGGTGTAAAATGTAGTATTTGGCCCAAATGTAAATAATTGACTTGTGGGCCAGGTGTAAAATGTAGTATTTGGCCCAAATGCAAATAGCTGACATGTGGGCCAGATGTAAAATGTAGTATTTGGTCCATATGTAAATATTTGATATGTGGGCCAGATGCAAAATGTAGTATTTGGCCCAGATGTAAATAATTGACATGTGAGCCAGGTGTAAAATGTAGCATTTGGCCCAGATGTAAATAATTGACCTGGGCCAGATATAAAATGTAGTATTTGGCCCAGATGTAAACAATTGACATGTGGGCCAGGTGTAAAATGTAGTATTTGGCCCAGATGTAAATAATTGACCTGGGCCAGATGTAAAATGTAGTATTTGGCCCAGATGTTGATAATTGATATGTGGACCAGATGCAAATATAGTATTTGGCCCAGATGCAAATAATTGACATGTGGGCCAGATGTAAAATTCAGCATTTGGCCCAGGTGTAAATAATTGACATGTGGGCCAGATGTAAAATTCAGCATTTGGCCCAGGTGTAAATAATTGACATGTGGGCCAGATGTAAAATGTAGTATTTGGCCCAGATGTTGATACTTGATATGTGGGCCAGATGTAAATGTAGTATTTGGCCCAGATGTTGATAATTGATATGTGGACCAGATGTAAATATAGTATTTGGCCCAGATGTTGATACTTGATATGTGGGCCAGATGTAAATGTAGTATTAGTCCCAGATGTTGATAATTGATATGTGGACCAGATGTAAATGTAGTAATTGACCCAGAGGTTGATAATTGATATGTGGGCATGTAAATTTGGCCTTTCTTGACCCAAATTTAAAATATATTTTTATTATTTTCAAATAAAGAAAAAATGTTTACCAATCAGGTCGCTTTGAGAAAAAGCACGCCCATTGCACACCTTAAGTGCAATGATTCATGGGTTTATCAGTTTTATTGCAGCCGTGACACAACATATCTGGCCCAGTTTAGGCTCAGTTATGGGTTATTAACTTGGCTGAGACTTGGCCCAGATATGGACCCTGTTTGGCCCTTGTCTAGAAGCCAGACTTGGTCCAGTCATGTACCGTAATTCACTGTAGCATGTAGGCCAAGAAAAAGCTGATTGAGTGGGCCAGAGATATTTTGCTATGTGGGTTCATAGCATATGTAAATATCATCCCCAGCGAACACAGCGAAGATTTGCATTGAGGAGATGTCTGATTACCAAGATGAGCCGGTGAAAATGGCCAACTTGAGAAAGATTAACAGCTTTCTAGCATGCATTACCATAGAGGTAAAATATGCTTTTGAAAAAGTCTTTGACAGTGTAAAAAGGCTTAACATGATATGAAATTGTGTGCTGCTGACGATGTGTGCATCACTTCTGCTCCAAAATATATGTTATTGTTACATTCTTTGTGGTACCAATGTGTTTACTGCACTTATTTAGCAGTAAAATTAGCTCGGGTGCTAATATTGCATTATTAATGAAATTAAAGTGCTGACAATGACTTGACTTACAAAAATTTAAAGTCGTTCAACCCCTACCTCACAAAAAAAAAGCAACTGGATAATTTTTTTTCCTGAGTGACTCTTATTTGCTGTTGAGAAAATCCTATGCTTTTAATGTTGTGCAGAGAGTTCTTAGAAAAAGAGGACGTATGTATGGGTGCGGCCAATGAAGGATTGGAGAATGATTGACAAGTGACGAATTCCACAAAACTCCACCTGTTAATATCAGCTATGTATAAAAGAGCAAATCAGGAAATTAAATTTGTTGCGCACCCTTAAATGTAACTCTTCTATTGCATAGGATAACAGATAACAGGATTCTATATGAATTACACATTTCAATCCAATGCTAATATGTTATACCTTGGAGAAAAACCTCTCCTGAACTTTTTTTATTGAACATGCGTGGAATTGACTAAATATTCCAACAACTACAATGCTTAAAAAAGTGAAAGAATCTTAGGAAATGGTAGGAAATGTTTATTCTGACCACAAGAACGTTTGAACCAAAAGAACAATATATTAGATGTGTTACAAATCTGCCAGTCCTATTATTACCTTTAATACATGCTATGACACAACATATATTACATAACAAGTGTGTTTTATTACATTCAATCCTCTAAACACAAACAGGAGGTGGTTCTATAGAAAAATAACCGGTCTTATATTGATAATGTAGTTTGTGCTGGTTTGTTTGCACTAAGAACTTGTTTTTTTCCCCCATCAATCTTCCCTGAGTGGTTCCTTTAAAAATATATAGTTGTTAACATAAGACAAAAATCAAAAACACTACATTTTCATGATAAATATAAACCTTTGTAGATAAATACAATAGTTATGGGAAACTGAATTAAATAATTTGAGCCTATTTACATTAAAAATAAAAGCTTGGTGTAAGATTAGGTCATTCGTTTTTTGAAATAAGATATTTTAATAAGCAACAATAAGCATTTACATACACACACACAAAAAAAAAAATCTAATTAAAATAGACTATATGTACATAAAACATATTAGAGTAAAGAATCCTGAAAAGATTATTTTTAATAAAATATTTAACAACAGTTTTTAATACTGGTAATAATATTAGTACTAAACACTATTATCAAATCATGACTTCTGAAAGATCACGTGACACTGAAGTCTAAAGTATTGATGCAGTAAATTCAGAATTAAGAATAGTGTTGTCCCGATACTGAGATTCAATACCAATCGGTACTGAAATTTCTTTTTAAAAAGTCCATTTCCCCAATAAACAGCGCTGATTTTCCATTGTGTTCAACAGAAATGACTGTGATTGGCCCAGAAGGTCATCAGTTCACCAAACTCGCTGCTGTTTTACTGTGTAACAAAAGAGCTTAAAATCACAAAAAGGCGACACTCAATAGAACGTTCCATTGCAACAGCAGCGCCCAGCAACAGCCCCGTGATTCTGCCATTTTGGAGTGAATGTGATTGGCTGTCCATTGGATCTAATTGCTGTCGCGATGGAAAGCAGCTGCTTGGTTTTTTAATTTATTTATTCAAAAAGCGCATTAAAGCTGAGATACAACCTCAAAGACGACATTACAGCACTTACTATCACAATCATCAGCACTTTCAGTTTATTTTACAGACTTATAATATGCTGTTGTTCTATTGGAATTTTCATTCCAAAATGGCTGCCACGCCATCTAGTGGCTGTTTCCCAAATCGCACTAGAGTGTCGCCTCTTGGTGATTCTAAGCTCTTTGGTGTAACTACAAATACAGGGACACTGGAGCGTTTCAAAGCCACATTGATCAGCTGGTCTGTTTATAGGCTGACATACGAGCAATCCGCTGATGAATCTGACTGATCTTATATCTGTTGTTACACCGCTGTAGATGTAGTATTTTGGGAAATTTTCTTACCCCTTGGTTTCGAGTATTGTCCTGACAAATCTCCGTTTCGAGGGGTATCTAGCCCTTCCACTTAGACCTACACCTTCAAGCTAAAGAGTATTGGGACATCTCTACCCCTTCAGGTGAATGCGCAAGATGAGGGGTAGGGGTAAGAGGAAGGGCTAAGGGGTAGAATTGGAATTCGGCCTAAGAGACTTGTTTCAGAAATCTTATCATCAACCCCAAACTTTTATCAATAACATACAAAGTAAGATTTACACAGAAGTAAACCCTGCTCATCTTTCTCGAACGAGACCCAAAGTAAATTAACACTTAAGTGAGAAAACATTAAAAAAAAATTGTGCTTGGAAACTGCTGGGAGCGACAGATTAAAGTTTAATTAGCCAAACATTTTGCTTTTAACTTGATCAGGCAAACGTAGGTCAACATCACAGAAATGGTCTTCAACGATTAAGACAGAAGCGCTAGACAAAACATGACCCAACTAAAAAACAAATTAAGTGAAAATCCCAAAGACATGCAGTCCTTAAACTCACAGCGTCTACCTATTACCACACATCTATCTGGCAACACTTGCAAGGACTCATTACTACGTTCCTTCTCTCCGGCTTGCGGATCTGACATTGCGGAGGTTATAATGAGCATCTCACACAGAGTTTCGCCAACAGCAACATCACTCAACAAATGCCAGCCAAACACAACAGCCAGTGCTCTAGTATAAATCTAGCATTAATCTCCCTCAGGGAAGAGGCCGATCCCGGTGGAAAACTCCAGTAAATCCCACTTACACGTTTCTCAGGCGGATCACAGCACCTCAGCAGGAATGTTTCCCTCGTCCTGATCAGATGTTCTAGATGATAACTTAGCTATTCTAAGGCAATACAGCTGCGCATCACGGAGAAAAGGGATTTCTAAAATCACATGTGAAAGTGGGTCAACGCACTTTACCCCACTTTTCTCGTCATCGCTGCATAAAACACTGGTAAACATGGTATGGATTGAGAATGCATTGCACAAATAGAAGTATATAAAAAAAGAAGATTTAATCATTTACTCAACCTCACCTTGTTACAAACCCATTCAATCAATTAAAAATGTTAATGATTATTATAAGAAGATCATAAAATAAATCTATATGAATAAAGATGTTTAATCCAAGTGTTCTGGCAAGAAATAAACCGCTTATATGAGATTTGATGTAGGCAGCGCATGTCCAAGCTCGGTTCTGGAGGGCCGGTGTCCTGCAAAGTTTAGTTCCAACCCCAATCAGACACACCTGGGCTAGCTAATCAAGCTCTTACTAGGCTTTCTAGAAAGCCTTCCTTGGCTTCCTTGCAGGTGTGTTGAGTTAAGTTGGAGCTGAAATCTGCAGGACTCCGGCCCTCCAGGACTGAGTTTGGACATCCCTAAGGTAGGCTTTTATCACACATAAACATTGATCAGCAAACAACGTGTACAGCATTTAAACGAGGAGATGGAAGCTCACACATACTTCCTTGACACACGGAGGCCAATGAGGTTCATTCCTGCATGTCACATGACAACATTTGAGTTTCCACTAGAACCAATGAGGTTCATTCTTGCATGTCACATGCCAACACTTGAGATTATGTGAAAACCAATGAGGTTTATCTTGTATGTCACATGACAACATTTGAGAATACACTAGAACCAATAAGGTTCATTCTTGCATGTCACATGACAACATTTACGATTTCCCTAAACCAATGAGGTTCATTCTTGCATGTCACATGACAACATTTGATTTCCACTCAAACCAATGAGGTTCATTTTGTATGTCACATGACAACATTTGATTTCCACTAGAACCAATGAGGTTTATTTTGTATGTCACATGACAACATTTGATTTTCATTAGAACCAATCATGTTCATTCTTTTATGCCACATGACAACACTTGAGATTCTGCAAAAACTAATGAGGTTCATTGTTGTTTGTCACATGACAAATTTTAAGATTTTCCTAAAGCCAATGAGGTTCATTCTTGCATGTGACATGACAACATCTGAGTTTCCACTAGAACCAATGAGGTTCATTCTTGCATTTAAAATTCTGTCACAAACGTCACAGCGACTGCTGAAATGTTCCCACCAATATTTGAATTCACTTTAAAAATTTGCGCTGTCAACATGAACCTGGCCATTGGGTTATATCACCTTCTCTATTCGAGTCCTTCTGTCCCCAAAACTCAAATGAACATTGTAATTGGCCATGCCTTTCCCTGCTGTGACATGTAACGTGTGATGTAGCAGCGCCTAAACTGCAAAGGGGATTTTTCCTGTGCAAGAACAAGGTGTGTAAGGTGGGTGACACGCAAGTGAGGATGGTGGCAGCAAAAAAAAAAGGTGCACATGAGAAGCTCAAATTTGCTACTAAAACAGTCCGTCATAATAATGGTAACATTAATGCTAGCATTTTTTTCCCACTGTGACTCTCACTCTAACGCTATAGAAGGCTGATATAGTCCGTGTATAAAATGGTCTGAAAACTAAAAATAAACAATACACAATAAACTACTAAATGTACAAATATTGATAATATGATTCCTGTCAGTTCTCATAATCCCTCAGAGTAGGCTAGCATGTCATATTTCACAGGTGGTTCAAAGGTCCCCACCAATGTCAAGAGCAAACCTGCGCCCTGGCTTATGTGTGATGTAAGATGTGCTTTTGCAAGAGCCAATGAGGTTTGTTGTTGTGCATCAAGCAGATATGGTTGAGCTTCTGTTTAAGTTGATTCCTACTGTCTGTGAACAAAAGGCTAAATTAAATAAATTTATTAAATAAAGCAAACGTGCCTCTTCAGAAAACTTGGATTCAAATTTGGTTAAACTTGGTTTTAACTCTTATGGATGTATTTTACAATCGCCTTATAAATGTTTTGAAGTGTCAGAGTGAATAAACCTTGATTGCAGGGGCAGAACTTGTCTTATAGGTTGGAAATGACATGAGGTTGAGCAGATGAAGGAATTCTCAATTTTGGGAGAACGGTCAATTTAAGAAACGCTCAAAACAAAAACGAAAAATATGTTGTGCAATAGAGAGATAATGGTACCTTGATGTGTCTACATCTGTAAACAACACAGAGCGGCATCATGGGGTGGAAAAGAAACCTCGCTATGATTGGCTGCTTCCAAACCTGCTGTTTAAGATCAGTTTGATGAAACACCTGCCTGAGAAACTCTGATTCACTGCTTCACTTAAACTGCTAAATAAAGCAGAGTCTTTGTCTTTCAGTAACTTTAGAAAAGCACCAACAGCCTCAGTGGTGTAAATGACCAAATAATATCTGGAGCATGAGAACGCCACACTGATAGCACCTTTACCAACAGGCCCTTTCTGCCTCGATGAACTTGTGTGCAAATAAAACTTGCGTTTCACTGACGATTTATCATTCACTCTGACCCTCAATCGTCAGGAATGGGAGTGTTGCAGTTGCCGTGATGGATGTGCACTGGTCCGTCACAATGATAATACAGCTGGAAGACGTCCCCATACCCATGATCCCTCCACCAAGTGCAAAGCTGCCGGTTCCAGCCACAGGTAAGAGGGTAAAACAGTTCGGTGTGCTCCATCCCGATCATGGTAAAGAAGTCCTGATCTCCCAGGTGTCCCCGGAAGTGGTATTTATCTGCAAGTCGGGCCACTCGCTCAGGCTCCAAGAGCTGGTTGTATACAGTGGAGCGACGCATGGAGTCCAGGTTTAGAAGCATTACGCCACTGTTGAAGCCTGGCAGACCGTCTGGAGGAGGGTCACCTACACGGGATTTGGGATTTTCTTTGCGGTACTGCCAGAAAGTGTGCCTACAACACACAGAGAGAACAACTCTTTACTTGGTAAACAGGTGACTCCTACTACTCAAAATATATCTTGTCCCACTCGATGTTAACACATAAATTAAAGGGTTAGTTCACACACTAACCCATGTAGTTTCAATCCCCTATTGAAATTAAGCTATTTTAGATGAAACCCTAGAGCTCTCTCATTCTCTATAGACAGCAATGAACAAGAAAAGTAACCAAATATATTGTTAAACATGGTTTTAATGGTTAAACTGTAATCATACGAATCTCCAAGAACACTTTTATCAAAAACAACTTCACCAATGTCTTTTCGGCATATATGATGCGTTTACCATTAGTATTTATACTATAATTACTGTATATTCTCTGTAGTACACACATCAGGATCTACCACAGATGAGAAGACATTGGTAGAAAAAGTGTTTTTTTTCACAGTTATTTGGTGCACAAATGTGTTCTTGGAGCTTCATAAGATTACAACTGAACGCACATGGAAAGTTTACTCAATATTTTTGTTTCCTCTTACAATTAATGGAAGACGAGGGAGCTCTCAGATTTCATCTAAAATATCTTATTTTGTGTTTTAAGATAAAAGAAACTGTCATGGGAGTTGAAAGAGCACTAGCATGATTAACATGTAACAAAATGTTTATTTTTGTGTGAACTAACCCTTTAATTTGCGCAGGTGTTGATAAGAGGTGTGGCTAGTATTTAAGCGATTAGACCAGGGGTCACCAACCTTTTGGAAACCGAGAGCTACTTCTTGGGTACCGATTAGTGTGAAGGGCTACCAGTTATTAAATAACACATTTTTCTTAATTTACTTTTAATTATATGTTATTATTAATTTTTATTTTTTTTAAATGTTATTATTATGTTATTATTAATAATTAATAATATTCATCTATGTGAAGACATTGATCATGTTAATGATTTCTTACAGTAGTTGTCAACAATGATTTAACAAGTTAGATAAATATCAATATTCAACATTTCATTTGTCTGAAATTGTTTTTAAAGTTTTTTTTAATATATAACTTAAAGTAATTTTCAAATTTACACCAATGCAAGTGTGATTTAAAAAGAATATTTATAAAAATATTAGATGTAGCTTACTCATGGTGCTATGGTGAGCTATTTTTAGAACAGGCCCGCGGGCAACTCATGTGAACCTGGCGGGCTACCTGGTGCCCACGGGCACCATGTTGGAGACCCCTGGATTAGACTAATCATTTTCACCATCTGAAAATATGATCAAATCTAAATATATCACACTGAAGTCCCAAATAAAATATTACAATAATACAATTACTTTTTTGCATTTCAAAATAAGCATAAAATCAGTTAAAACAATTACATTTAAAAAAAAAAAAATCTAAAAAATAAAGTAACTGTGAAGCAGATGTTCTAGTACTTGTTTTAAGAGAAAACATTTAAAGGACAGCATTTGCAGTAAAGGGAATAACAGAAGCAGGGCTGCACGATATTGGAAAAATCTGACAATGTGATATTTAGTTTTTCTGCTACGTATATTGAGATATGAATACAATTTGAAATAGCTGACTTGAATAGCTCTTTCGGGGGAAAGAAATCTTGAATTTAGATTGATTGGAGGTGATTTTGTAATGAGTGTGTATCAAGTATAAAAAATAAACAGTGCTTTATGGCTTTCCAGAGAGTCAAATAGTAATCAAGTAGAGAAATTAAATAATAAAATACAAAAGAATAATGTATAGTCTTCACTGTAATTACAATTCAGTAAAATTATTCTTCATTAAACTTGAAAATGTTGTGCTTTGAGCCTGAATGACTTAACTGTCTTGAAATGCCTTTTAAACACATGCAAATGAAAAGTTTTACGTTATGGTTATACTTTGCAATGACTCCACAAATCTCATGCATTCTCAACTGTTATGCTGATCAATTATAATCCCAACTCAACATTGCATATCCTGCGATGTGACTACTGCGAACACACACATCATGATACTGATGCTGAAACGATATATTGTGCAGCCCTAAACAGAAGCCTTAAACTTTCTCATACTTGTGAGTGGGCTCTTGTGCTTCTAACACCTAGCAACCAGTCAAAACATCCTAGAAACTACCAAACAATACAAACACACCCACTCAGAAAACCAAAGCAACCACGTGACTTTTTTGCAGCACTACTGCACAAAAATATGACTATGCATGTTTTTTTCCTCAATACATTTTTGCAAATAAAGCTGTTCTGATCTCAAGAATAATAACAAGGTGGAAAATAAACTGCTGTTTCAGGACGGTGGCTGTTCACTGTAGAAAACAGGTATGCAGAAAACACTGGAGAAACAATAGTTAGGGTGCAAGATTCATAAATCATATAGATGCTTCAAGTAAAAATAGACATGATAGCAAATTCCTTCATTTGCTTTACTTTTACAACAGAGATACAAATCCATGACTGAACAACGCTAACAGATGAAATGTAAATTTGTTATAATTACAAAATCACTTTCTTAAGTTGGAAACCACAAAACGAGACGTAAGATTGACCAAGCCAACACTGTAAAATAAAGATTTCATTTCAACAGAGAGTGAGCGACTTCTGGTGACCTCCGTCTACATGAGCGACAGCGACCATAGGCGACAAGGTGGTTGGGAGAAGCGATGAGACAGTTGAGAATCCTTCAACTTTATGCAAATGAAGAGTGACTTTCTTTAGCGACAGCCAATAGGAGCACCAGTAGAGCTCACGTGATCCTCTCTCAACTCCATCTGACGGGTTGCATTCTCCGTGCTGTAGACCTACACCAATGGTGTCCAAACTCAGTCCTGGAGGCCCGGTGTCCTGCAGATTTTAACTCCAACTTGCCTCAACACACCTGCAAGGATGTTTCTAGAAATCCTAGTAAGAGCTTGATTAGTTAGCCCAGGTGTGTCTGATTGGGGCTGGCACTAAACTTTACAGGACACCGGCCCTCCAGGACCGAGTTTGGACATGCCTGACCTACACAGACCTGCGTTTACCGCAGATAAATAACTGAAATGACAGAGAACACATTTTTTTCTTGATCATCTTTATAATTAAGCATTTTATGTTCTGATTCTAGATGTGCGCACACTAATGTTTTTCTAGCTACAGTATACAGTATAACAAATTAAGATTATCCAATTGTGTTGAGGTAATTTATCAGGTTTACTAAGCATTTAACCCCAAACTCCTAAATCTTCTACAACTCTACAACTACATCTTTTCATTCAGAGTGGTTTCCTTGTAAATAAAGTTGAAGAGGGAGAAATTACACACAAAAAAACAAAGAGCATATAGAAAAACAAGTTTTGTCTATTGAAAATATTAGCCTAATAGAATTAATTTTTCCTTCACTGCACTCTAAAAAATGGCATTTTTTGTCATTTAAATTTAGCGGAAGCAAAAGATTTTTGGGACAGCTAATGGCGAGTTCAGACTGCAAGATTTTCAAAATAGTCGTGTCACGGATGTTTTCACACTGCATGTCTATCTGGGATGGCATTCCATCGCTGCTGTGTTTACATTGCAAGATTGATCGGCATCAGAGAGTTTCGCACTGCATGATTTTAAAACAGAAAGAATCGCAGACAACTTTGTCTCAGTCCACAAATTACTTCTCACAACCAAACACATGTGAGAATGCAAACAACGTGAGATCACATAGTATATATTTTGTTATTAATCACGTGATGAGAAAGAAGCCCTTTACTGGGGAAGAAAACGCACTTATTTTGCTCCCCTGGCCTTTGAAGGGAATTAGCAAATTCTCTTATTTTTTTCTTTTTCGACCCAGCTGTGGTTTTGCTCAGTTGACAGGTCAAACAGACACGAGTGCTCCTGCCAAATTTACACTAGTTTTTCCTCAATTTCTTAGATCAAATAGACTAAAATGAAGCATTTTAACTTCTCCTCCAATCTCCAGCTGGCCTGCAGATACCTATACTAGTGAGTGCTGAACTCTCATTGGATGTAGGTAATCGCTGATGTTATTTTTTTTTAATCAGAACACATTTCATATGGCATGATATGAATTGCCGACAGCTCTAGATATTTAACATGCCATGTCTGATGCGGGTCAGTGACTCATCTACAATTCTCTCAGATCTTTGATAGTTCACACTATGTGATTGTTTCTCACGTGAACGAGCACAGATTTGCCAGTGTTCTCAGGCATTTGTTGCGATTTCTCAAAACCTCTCGGTGAGTGAAAATCTGGGCTAAAATCATGCAGTCTGAACTCAGCATATGACGATTTAAGCTGTTTTTACTTCATTCCTTCAGGTTGAAACAACAAGGCATGGGACGATAACCGTTTTCAAGGTATACAGTGGTTTGGAAAAGTCAAGGTTTTAAAAACGTCATAATGTTCTACTATACTGTTCCTAAGGTATGTGTATGATTTTTTTTATTTACCTTTTTTAGGACAAGTATCTCCAGCAGAAAAAAAATATCCAAAGATGCCATTTTAAATTGTAAAAAAAAATCTTTGTTTTTTAAACATATGAAGACAGCAGAAGTCAATAATTGATTTGAACTATTTAGCCTGACATGTTTACTGCTCCAAAATATTTGAAATGTTTCTTAAAATAAAATATATTGTGTTCAAAAGGGAAAAAAGTTTTTGTTTTTAACCAGACATTTGAAAAGAATATATTTTAGAGCAGTAATTACAATACCGCGAAACCGTGATAATTTTAATCGAAGGTTATCATACCATTAGAACCCTATACTGGCAAATCAATTGTTTAAAACCCAGCATTTTTTCATAGTGTGCATAATTTAAATATGCATCGATTATAATTAAAATGACTGTAGTTATTAGTGAAGAGCAGCAAATTAATCTCTATTTTTATTTTTTGTTTAATTAACATTCAAAAACTGAAGACTGAATGTGTATAGGGAGGATCGGCTCAGTGTTGATGTTACTGCCTTATTTCATAGGATAAAAAATATGGGAGAAATGCATTTAAAAAATATGATAGTGGGA